AGCCAGTGGTGCCATTTCTTTAAGAATTGGTAAATTTACATCAAATGATGAAAGAGCGGACGCCCAGTTTTCTTTGGAGAAGGTTAGCTTTTCCTATCTTTTTCGGTGGCTGGATGCTTATGTAACCAATTTTCTTAACAGGTTGCAATCGGTGACATCCAACGGCACGGAACTCAGCAGCGGGCGGTTGGAGCAGCACTTTGCCCAGTTACCCAGAGTTCTATTGCTGTCTTGTTTAGCAGTGGAAGAGTTGTACTGTGGCAGCTGGTACGACTATTTAATGTTACATCAATTTCACATCAATTTCACCACGCTTTAGTCGAATGCTTTTGCTCAAATGTTGCGGTTTGGCTGACAACTTGTTATTTGAGACAAATTCAACAATCACTAAAGATTCTTAAATACCCATGTATTCATTATTTCTATCCTGATGGCATTTTTAGACATCTGATAAGTCTGCAGTTCTTGATTATCGACAATCTTTCATCGAGGACTATTTGGCGTTCGGGAAAGATCTGGAAACGAGACCTATAGGAGAGTTAAAGTAAGACTTTTTCTCATATGATTCATCTGATGTAATTTTTCTAAAGGGAATTAGTGGGACAATTCAGTGAATGAGCTTTAAACACACTTTCATCCTGTCACATTGGTTTACATTTGACCAAATCTGTTCTTTACTTTAGCATCCAGCAAACTGGATTTCTTGATGCTTTATCCTCTGGAGTATCATGTCTACGTATGCGTCCCATAGACGATCTTGGAAAGGAGACTGATGATTCTTTAGGTATTAATTGGAGTACTCATGCTCTTTTCCTTATTTATATCTCACTAGAAAGTTACTTTTGTCAATCATCTTTAAAAAAAACCCGTTATGCTTTTCTTAGTGTTACATTGTAGACCTCTCATCTTTTGGATCAGCGCATCTAGTGGCCGTTGGCTCACATTCCGGAGTTTTACAACTTGTCGATGTTTTCACCTGTGATATTGTTAGAGAGTTTGCTGTACAATCTTCTCCTATTAAGTAAGCTTGTTTTTTGTTATAACTCCTAGTTCACTTGCAATTTTTTTATTCTTAAGGTGCTTAGAATGGGGCGGAACTTATACTGTACTCACTGCTGGATATAATCATTCTCTTAGTACTGCTCAAGTAGTGCGAAATGATTTATATGCTATCGATATAAGAACAGGTAGCTTTTCCGATTGGCACTCTTTGCTCTCTCCACCTTTGGAAGGTCTTTAGGTGTAAAACGACGAATCAGACCGGAAGCTGATGAATCACCCGTCACCCTTTTGAGAGTGTCGTTCTACCAGTAAGTTCACTCTCATTTGGCTTTGCTCTTCCAAGTTCTTCCTACTGTTCATCTAAAACTTTGCAGATGTTATTTGGCGCTCGCTTTCCAACGCGAACCCCTTGAGATCTGGGATTTGAAGGGGTTGCGTCTCTTACGACGAATGAGCAAGACGTGTCCCTTAATAGTTGACATGGTATCGCTTTCTTCTGTAGTTCTTCATGTTTTTATTGTTTTTGCAGTTATATTCCCACTTTTTTTGTTATTTTGCAAATATTTTGTGTGGAATCTATAGCTTGTGGTGCTTGAAACTGGTTTCAAATTGTTTTGCTATGAAAAGTTCGGGGAACGATAAAATGAAATGAAATTCTCAGGCTTGGTCTTGTAAACACCATGGAATGAAAACAACAGAAGATGGAGGATTAAGCATCTATCGAGAGAATTTGGTAGTCCTCGACTCAGGTATTTATATTTCTAGACTTCGATTTTTGATTGATCTTGGAATTTTCCCTGTGGAGCATGAACTCAGTATGTTTAAGAGAATCGTCTGTACCATGTCGTAGTTAAGGGTCTTCATGTGAAAGACGGAAAAGAAGTAAACACTCAGGTACAACTTTTTTCCAACTTCAAATCTTCCTCTGAAATTTCTTCTGTAACGCAAAATGCTGAAACAATTTTTAACACAACTTGCAGTTTTTTGGGAATGAAGCGCCTTCCCAAAACAAGGGTCCTTTGGGCCAAACTCTGGTATGTTTCGCGATTTGTTTGGTTCCCCCAAAGTGGGGAAAAATTTTCGAGTCCCCATGTGTAATAGTTGCATAGAAATTGAGTTGAATAAGTTCATGGGTATCCTTGTGGGTTGGGATTGAATCAAATTAGTCCAAGTTCGCTTGATTTCCTTTATTTTCTGTTTAGTGGAAGAGCGGAGGCTGGTCTATTAGAACTATGGCATGGAAGGACGACATGTTAGCTATGGGAGATGCAGAAGGAAGAATTGTAGTGAGTGCTTGTACTTGTTCAAACACAGTGTGCTAATTAAATATATAAGACGTTAATGCTAAGTATATATCATGCCTTCCAATGTTTTTGCTTTTGGAAAGGTTGTTTTCCTCAAATTCTGCGCGCGTGTTTTAGGATCTCGTTTACTTGCAAAAATTGCAGAGTATATGAGTGCATGATTCACAATTTTTTGTTTATTGAGTCTAACCTCGTTTCTCTAAAGATCTGGGATCTTGGTCGTCGTCAGTCACGACATGTTCGCGCTTCGAGATTCCCTGTAGTGCGAATGACGTTTTCACGTCTAGCTGGAGACCACACCCTTGCAGTTTTACATCCCCGGTAAGTTTCAAAGGATTTTATGCTGTTTGCATAACTTCCTGAAGCTTTTCTAATCCTAACTTTTCGGTTTACAGTGAGTTGTCCTTATGGGATACAGAAGCATTAACTCGTCAGCATCAAATCACTTTGGATAGCTCACGGTCAGCCTTGGACATGGATCTATGTGGTGTTTCGCCCATACTTCTGACAAATGACAATGTGCTGCGTTATGCACCAGCGGTTGCTAAGAATACGCCAATGTTAGAAAAAGGTGGAGATTTATAGTTTTCAAGTTGATTATTTCACTTGAAAT